AGGTGAACGAGCCTCTGATACTGTGGCTGATGTGATTAGGCCCTATGATGGTGTCCCCTGAATAGCTACAGTACGACATCTAACTGTGACATGCCAAGAGTCCACCAAACTATTGTGATATTGGAGGTAACTCAGCCAATCATTTCCCTTGCTCTACAGGTAATTTGCGTGCAGCAGTCTCATAAGTTGTGTAAAGGAGACTGCACAGATGGGGGATTACGTGGCTGAACTGCCCCACCTGTGTGACCAGTTGCCACTGTTCTTCAAAACCATGCACAAAACAGCACAACTCCTCCCCCCCCCACCAGCCGCCATAACCCCAAACTCCCACAACCCCTTACGGCAGCACACATCCCTCATTTGCCATCCACACCACACAACCCACACACACAATAACCCCAAATGCACATAGCATCTCACAGCATCACACAACCCTCATCAACTGCACAAATTAACACAAATCTCCCAGCACAAACCTTCCCTCGCTCCAACACAAATCAACACAACCAGCACACACATACTAATAACTCCAAACATCACTCTGAAGACTAGAATATTTAAGTCAATGTGAAGTGGTGGACAGAGCTACAAGCACTGGTTTGGAGCTTTTTTTGTTTAGAGTATCACCAGGTTCAAACATCACGAGGACTCATGGTATGTTAGCAACAGATTAAGTTCTTAGTCATTTGTGGCTTCTCCCATCCCCCATGACTTTATGAATTAAATTGGTGTGACAGCACGGATTTCAGTTACTACTTCAATAAATATTTCTGTTCTGTATTTGAAAGGGTGAGGTATTCACATCTTACAGTGATGATGAAATACTTTTCCATCAGTAACTAGAGTGAGTGGGTGTTAATCAACAACTGTTACCCAGTCCAGCAGATTTTAAAATGTTTAACTTGCACCCAAGATTATTAAAAGAACTGGATGAGGTGCTCTCTGAACCATTAATGTTGGTTCTTGGGACCCTGGGGAAGTTCCAGAGGACTGGGGAAAAATGCAAATGCTGTGCCAATATTTAAAAAGGGAATTAAAATGGGATGGACCCAGGTAACTACAGGCTGGTTAGCCTGATATCTCCTTTGGTAGGACTTATGGGGACAAACAACCTAAGTAGCTTTAAGATGGAACTTGGTACATTTATGAACAGGATTATATGACATGGTTACCTGTGACTGCAAGGGACTGGAGTCTGGCCTATGCCCTTCCAGTCCTATGTAAATGAACGACTAGTCAGATCAATGATCTAAAGCGGTGTTCATAGAGATAAGCTTTCCTCTAGAAACACTGACTTAACTCCTAGTAACTCATGAAAAATACAGTTTGAATATTCTGATTGAAAGTGACCTAATCTAAACAGCACTCATGAGTTTGAAGTGGAAGAACTTTCTGCAGTGATCAGTTTCATACATGCCTACAACTTGTATTCAATTAATACCTTCAGTTAGTATTCAGCTTTATGATGAAGGGTCAGATTTTTAATTATTCAAATATATTGGTAATGCTGAGAGGCAATTTAAACTAAAACTCCCCTTTTTACATTGCAAAGCTTCAGAACTTGAAGAGCTGTAAGTGTTGTATGCTGATAATAAAAGGAAGTGAATTGATTTTTGGTTAGTACAGAAAGAATGAGTTGACATTTTCCAAAGTAAATGGTCATACTGTCTCTTATATTTGTATGAAGAGGAAATATAGTTCTCTGGAGTTAATTATTCTAGGCACACATTCCTGAGGTCTATTTGCTGAACTTTACTGGGTGCCGCTAAAGCTGTGAATTATTAAACTGCTTCACCAACAAGTGGTTCAGAGCAACCCTAACTATTTCAACCTTCAATTCCTTTTGACCAAATTACCGAGTGTTAACAACCTTAAAGACACATACTCCACAACTCACGCTGGAAAAGTGAGCATGGACACATTAGAAGTGCAATTCTATTTGTGGAGAGCACAAAGGTTAGGTAAGAAATGGTCTCTTCTTAAAAGGTAAATAAAAAATTGTAGATCCCTAATCCCAGAGGCTAAAAAGTGTCCTGGTTCTCCCTATAGGTACACACTCAGTGGTATGAAACCTAGTTAGCAAAACCTGTTTTACAAGTACAAATAAATAATAGCATCTCCCTAAAATGGGTGCAATATAGTGATACAGAATCACTAACACAAACATTTATTTAAAAATGAAAATAAAAGACCCTTCAGACAGCACAGTGCGTGAGTTTGGAAAGGGAAAACAGAGAGAAATTTTAGACCAGTTCCTTGCCTCCATTCTAGCTGCTGTAGTGCCCCATAGCTTCTGGAAACCAGTGAATTTGCACAGGGAAATTCCCATATGGCAAAGAGCTCAAGGCTCTGTGCCACCCCATCTGTGCATTCCCCAGCATGTGGAAAAGGGATGTGGCTGGTCAGTGTGTGTTACACGTAGCCCTCTGTGTACGATCTGCAGAGGATGTGTGTCTGCTACAGCTCAGCTTCAGAGCCTGCTCTTTAACTTAAGCTAGAGAGACTCCTTTTCACCTCTGGAGGTCTGTAGTATCAGCCATGGTGTTGGCTAACTCACAAGTGTAGCATGTGCCTTCACCTCTTGACACACATGGTTTGTAAGGTGACAGCAGCTGCAAGCAAAGGGTGGAGCTTGTTATATCTGTGCAAAGTACATGTAGAATGCTACCATTTTGATTTAGAAGCACTTAATAAAGTGCTTTGTATAGGTATAAATGACTGTATAAAATGCAAGGCAATGAAGATTCAAGACTATTACCTTCGTGGAACCTCATTTTCCCCTCACCTATCATTAGCCTGAAGGAAGGCTGCTGTATCCAACAAAATGGTGATTTCTTTTGTGCTTAATATGCATTAGGAGTGCTGGAATATTTGTGTTTGGATATCTTTTCATGCTATAACTCTATCTTTAATATAACAGTACTGCGTTAATCAGTTGTGTATTAATCTATGCACACTACAGCATGTCTTGTAAATGGGGTTGAAATAGAAAAGGCACCTAATATCCATACATTAAGGGAGACTGCTCAATCTCACCAAACTGTGCATGCATCCTCTTTTAATGTGGGCCTTGCTTTTGTGAATTGACCAAATATTTTCTTGGTATATTTTTCCAACAACAAAATGCATTGGCAATTCAGTCCCTGTGGATTTTCCTGCATCAGGGCACTACAGGTATAGTAAAATCCATGTTTCTGTGGATTCAGTCACAGCTGGCATCATATAACATAAGTTACATAAAGTATTGCTATATGCACAGTCTGATCCACAAATCTCTCCAATAACTTTATACACCAATGCACGTGCACTTTTGACAACAGAAACTATATATGCTACGTCAAATCCTGTAGTGAGCCAGGCAAATGCCTGGCATAACTGTGGGGCACAGTGGTGTCTTGCTGCTACCTTTCTGTCCCCCTTAGCTCCCAATCTTGGGGGCTACTGGAGGCTGAACTGGGCTGCTCTAACTTATGCTGGTGGATAGAGGCTCCCAAGGAACCATTCTGCTGGCCAGGTCCACTCCCTATCACATGGAAACCTCATCTGCTTCCTTAAGGAAATTTTGCATCTCCATTGCAGCAGTGCAAAGGGGATTTACAAAAGGGCAAGGATCTGCCCACCTGTCAAAGACCTGTGATCTCTGTAGAAATCTAGACCTAAATTCTATGACAGAGTCCCCTGGTTTCTGAATGACTCCAGCACGTCAGACTGGAAACTCTGCAGCAGCTTCAGGTAAATTTTTTTTTTAAAAAGGAGGCCGTTTAATTGCACGTTAAAACAAATATTACGATCAACTCAAAATCTGTTGTTTTATTTATGTTGATACTAGATTCAATTTATTTTATATTAAACATATTTACTCTGCCCTTACAATTTTCAATATGATCCAGTTTTTTGTATAAGCAACATACAGCCTTAAGGGAGCCAATGTGGTCCAGTGCGCAGGGTACAGCAATGAGACCCGGGTTCTATCCCTGACTCTGCCACGAGGCTGCTGGGTGACCTTGGGCAAGTCACTTAACCTCTCTCTGCCTCTACCAGGCAGGTGGAGCTTGTCAGCTGCAGTAGGCAGTGCACCTAGGAGAAGGAAAACTCTGATTCCAAACCAAGAACATTAGGCCTGACCAGCCAGTTTGTATAAGGTATGCCAATGCTCTGTGGGTCTGCACTGCCAACCCTGGCTACTGGAACAAGGCAAAGAACCACACAACCTTTCTGTAAAAAGATGAAAGCTGGAGATTTGGGCAGCTAGGCAGAAGATTTGGGGGAATTCTGGCATTACACGAGGCATGGGCAATGGTTGAGGAATGCAGGATAGTCACATTAGGTGGATATTTCTGCTTAAGTCATCAGCAGTGAAATAGCTACCAATACTGAAATTTAAGCAGACATTATTAGGATTCAGTGTTAACAATGGTTTGGGGTGAATGCAGTAGTTCACATCTTTTATAACTACTAGTTCGGCTGTCTGCATAATTGATGATAATGCTGCTAAAAATATTTTCTACAAAACTTTTTTCCATTGAAAAATGCTATTTCGTAAAAACGGAAATGTTTAGTTGAAAGGTAGTATTTGAGGGAAATTTAGTTGGGGGGAGCAGGAGTTGTGCGGGTTAGTTACTGCTTATAAAGTGCTTTGAACATATGGAGTGTTCTGAAAAATCAGGCCCTAGGTGTCCCAAGTTGGGCACAATCACTGAGGCACCCCAAATTAGTGGAAAGTTCTGCAAATATTGACATTAAATGTGTAAGTGATTGACATTAAAGAGTATCAAAATCCATATGAACAATTGGCCTACATTAAGGTTGCCACAGGCAAACTCAAAAACTGTTATTTTCTCAATTTTGTGTGCTCTAAATAATGTTTAACAATTTTTGTGTAATTTGTATATAGATCAACATGGTAAAACATGGCCAAAATTTAACTCTCCGGTTAAAAACATGTTCTCAGTGCCTCTCTGCATTTACCACTAGCCTGTTCTCAGCAATATGCTACTTACTGTTCTGGAGAGTTGATGTCTTCTATAGGATCTTTGCTTGTTCTGGAGGGCTCTGTTGTGCTCCACTGTGCTTGTGGATTTTGATCAAGGTGATTTTTCAAAACAGCTTTCTCACCATCTGGATGGGGGAAAAATGTTTAAATTGTATTTACTATGATGAAATGAAAATGTATTTTTTAAACAATTTACTTTTAAAATGTTCGATATGTTCTTAGAGGCATGAAGTGACCCTTCCATGCTCTCCAGTCCAACAACATCTCTAATTTCACTGCAACTCTCAGTCTTTTTCTTCTTTCCCTCACCTCCATTGGTTGGTGCCTACCTCCAACTTCACCCTCTCTTCCACACTTGATTACTTCAGTACTTTCTCCCTTTGTTATGTCTGACTCACCAATTCCAACGCTGGCTTAATCCTCACACCTTTCTCTTTCATCCCCTGCTCTCAATGGCTCTGAGCATCTTTGGAGAAAATTAAGGACTATATTGACTTCCCTCAGTCTCTCGTCTTTCAGATCGGCCACAGGCCTTGACAAATACCATGCTTACTTACTAATGTGCCAGTAACCAATAGAAACTCCATCTCCAGTTTCCATGCCCCTCCTCCAACACTTGCCAAATTCGGCAAAAAAAAGTTGACGCAATCTGGCAATACCTTTCATTCTCTCAATCTTTTCCCTTCTTTCTGTGCTTTTCCCAAGCCACCCAATTAATCACCTTTTTATTTCTTTTCCCTTTTATTGTTTTTGTGCATCTTTCCATGTAGCCCTTGATAGATGACACCTGGAAGAGATTGAGAGGGAACATGTTCCTCTCAATTTTGTTTACTGTCTTGTTGTCCATCTACATGCAGTTGCAGGAGGAATGTATTCTCACTCCTGGTCCCAGACTTTATTTCTTTCAATGTGATTTCACCACCATATTGCCCTACACTTAGACCTCCCTATTTTTACATGCAAAAAGCTGCCCTCTCCTCAGTTAAATCTTTCCTTAAAATATTCAGTGGTAATTCTCCAGTGGAATAAGTATGCAGCGTTTCCAGGGCTGGATTAAGGCAATTTGGGGCAGTAGTCATAGCCTAATAAGTGGAACCCCAGTACTCCTACTCACCCTGACCCCCCTGAGGTCACTTACATAAGAAATTTTAAAAATATATAGGAGACTTATCTGTTTGGTATAATTTGGAATTAACGGGCCTTTGAAAGTATTAATGTGTAGCTGTTATCACATAGCACTTAGACCGCATGCTACCCTTAGTAAAGATGGCCACTGACTCTTCACTTACTTCTTGCAGGCTGCCATCTTTGAGGCTTCACACCCTTTGGAATCTTTGGGAGATAGTGGCCATCTTTGCTAAGGGCAGCATGCATCTAAGTCCCACTGAGAATAAGGGGAGATGACAGTCATTTTGAGACAGTTGTCTTAACAGTGGGGTTGTTTGTGACTTCAGTCCCACTGAGAACAATGCCATTTTGAAAGAGGACAGTTCTTGATGAATTTCTTTGAAGGAGAAGATTTTATGTGCCAGCCACTGTTGAAGGAGAAATTTAGTCATGAAGAGCAATGGCAAAAAATTACCCTTAATCCTAAAAATTTCTTTAAAAAAAACCTACTTGTGCCAGATTTACTCAACAAAGAAGGAGAAAGGGGAAACTGGAATGTGTACATACATGTGTACTCAGGGACCGTGGAAGGAAGGAAATTTGGCATGTGTGTACATGAGAATGTGGAGGTCAGAAATTTGGGGTGTATGGACAGAGGAATGTGGAGGGCAGGCAGGAGGGGGTCACTGGGGTGTAGACTCTAGCTGGTTTGTGCTGCTCTGACAATACAAAGGAGCTGTAAATGTAGTTTAACAAGTTTGCTTGGGCTGTTTTGTGCTCCAGAACAGTGTAAAGGAGCCACAGCATACCAGTGAACCTGACCCAAAAATTTAAAATAAAATGTAAGGTTGATATATGTTTCTTCAAATCTTTAGAAATATCACATGGTTACATTCTCTTTCAGTTCCTCGTTTACTGTTAATATATGAGAAGTTTAAAAATTGAAAAAGGAAATTCCCAGACAAAAAACTACATTAAGATGGAGTTCACGTTGAGAGTATACATCAGTAATTTAGGATAAAACATATTTATATTATAATTTAGGATGAAACATATTTATTTTATAAACCCAAGAAATTCAGTCAAGAATAAACTTGAAAGAATCCAAAAATCTTAACAGGCAAGACATGCAAATAACTATGCCTGTAGTAGAGCCATAAGGAAAAAAATGTGACAAATTCTAATTTGTCTTTAATCTAATTTGGGAACACAAACACTGATATATATCAATCATAATTGCCTAGTCATTGTGTTGGGGGTTACGGGGCAGAAGTAAGCGTGTTTGAGTGCCTTTATTGTGGATTTTTATAATGGAATTGGTTTATATAAGTGGCCCGTGGTCTAAATCTCACTCTTATGGAAGTGTACCAGTTGCGTAAGGCCTTTTGGAATGGACAAAAGCATCCACACATTTCGTGACCTTTAAGACATAGTGTCAAATGGCCTAGCTCCACTGACTATCGCACAGCTACTTTAGTTCTACCAGCTGAGGATCTTTTGAATTAATTAGGTTTAAGATTAGCCTAAATAAAACAGATTTTTGCTGTGGCTTGCAGCTTCCTATGGAGTCTTTAAATCTATTTTTAGAAGATGGTGGTAGAAATTTAATTCCTTGGAAATCTGGAAATAAGGGACTGATCATTGCTATATGTATGAGACACTATTTTACTTTTAAGACTCATATTCACTGGGAGCAAGAACTTGTAGATTGGAACAACATTTGTGAAGGGACATTTAAAAAAATCCAGAGTACTGAAATTTTAAATTGACTAATTATAAAATTCACAGAAATTATCGGATCCAAACATTACTGACATGATTTTCCTTCAGCCACACCAACAGGCACTGGAAATGCAATTTGCAGGTGGAGTCTTTAAAACATCTACAATCAGACAGTGCAAATGTAAGGGAGCTTTGTGTCTATGCTTTCTGAACCTTACTGGATCTTCTTAGTCTCAAAATAACTTCAAGACCAGTGATTGCCCTATTAGTGTGGAAACTGAGAGATGATCAAAAACAAAAACAAAAATTGGGACTGAAAGGTTGTAATAGAATATGTATAAATCTATTAAAGGTATTTGTTTCTAATACCCTGGAAGCGTAATCAGTGTTCTCTAGAGCAGAATAGTTGATGCACTTTGCAATCATGCTAGTTAATGCAAAATGGCTGTATGCTGAATACCACAAAGTCACACAGAAAGATTATAATGACATGTGATGGACTATGATGATGAGTCTAAAAATATTATCTCTCTTCCTGAAAAATGAGTGGAGGTTGGATTAGACTTCATGTCCAGTGTCATGTTTTAAAATGTACATGACAGAATGTCAGCCTGTTTCTCAATAGAGCTCTTAAAATTAACAGACAATGCCCATTCTTGCATTTTAGCTAACTGGCATAGTTATGAAGAGAGACCTATGTGGCTAGATAGTCAAATGGACCAAATTCTGCTTAGTTATGCCAATGTAAATCCATTGTAATCCCAGAGTCAGTGAAGACACTCTTGGGATTAGACTGGTGTAGCAGAGCAGAATATGGCCCAGTGTATCTGTTCTCTCTACATTTATAGAGCTTCTGCATTACTAATGTGTTCCAAATCCTTTGTGACCATTCCCTCTTGGAAAGGGATATTTTAGTAGAATTGTATTTTCATGAGGGAACTGAACAAGGAGAGGTCAGTGTCACAGTTACATATCTAGCTGCTTCTGTCCTCTTTCTGGTCTCTGAGGCACCCCCCCAGGTGCCAGGCTACAAGCTTTTACTGCTTCTGGTGTGGAATTCCAAAATTCTCCCACTATCAGATGGGCCTGGTGTTAGAGTACCCTGTGGTTCTTCCTTTTGGGAGTCTGTGATCAACGGTGTATACATTGTTCAGACAGCCTTCTTAAAAACAAAGTATTGTTTATTTTAAACAATACAAACAAAGAATTTTAGACAAAAAGCATTAAAAACAAACAGTCTACTGCATGTCTGTCTTATCATCCCTTGAGGACAGCTAGGCAGGCTCAACTCCTTCAGATGCTCCCACTGTAGTGTGTCTTAGTCTGTTTTCCCTGAACAGCTGGATAGGAAGCAAAATCTTCAAAGCTAATAGTCCTGACATTGTCCCTTTTTACAATTCTCAAGTGTTTGCAAGGAGGTGGCTTATTCCTTATTCCATTCTGTCCCTTCCTGACTGTTTTTTAGACACACAGTCTCCTCTTGTGTTAAGCCAATACAGTCACACAGAGAACATCTCAACCAGGTCAATAGACAGTATTAATAAATCATTACAGAGCAGTTCCAAATCCATCAAGGTAGTTGTTTGCTACATATAAAAAGTGTGACTGTTGCAAGCATAAAGGCAACACGGAAAAAGGCATGAAGGTGAAAATGGGAGAAGGACACAAAGGGTGATATTAGGGAGGAGGCTAGGACAGCGTGAATGAGATGATGAGTAGAAATACACTAGAGAAAAGACAACAGCAGAGAAAAGCAGCAACAGAGCTGCAAAAAGCTTTACAAAGGTTGACCCTTGGTTTTTATGTATTATTTCTACTGCAGTAGGACCTAGCATATGGAAACCTCAATCAGAGGCCCTTTTGTGTTAGGTTCTGTAATACCTGTAAAAATATCCCCAAAGAGCTTACAATCAAGATTAATAATGAGACAAAACAGATGGTGAAACAAGGCAGTGGGTTGGGTGTCAGGGAAGGAAAATGGGGTAACAGTATTATGAGTGTTTTTGTGCAAACTAGCTATTCTCCACGTGTTATTCTGTAGTCATTACAGCACAAGCGAGTCTTAAGGAGTGATTTGAAGGAAAAATAGGATTAACATAGGAGAGGATGCAGAAGTGAGAAGAGTAGGGGAATGCTATGGTCCAAAGGGGTAGGAGCAAAGATTTTCAGTGCAGTATATTGGATGGACTGGTAGTGAACTTGGTGAGAAAGAAGGAGGAGGCTAGAGTAGAGGACAGGTTTCAGAGGAACAGCCGTGTTAGTCTGTATTCGCAAAAAGAAAAGGAGTACTTGTGGC